TGTGTTCTATATCTAAATGAATCCTGTGCCCAAATAGTTGAACATAATTTATATTAAAACCACAATGCTTGAAACCGGTTTAAATGAGCCTGCGTCATAACACTGCAACACAACACTATACCAGTTCTAGTTTTATAATCATTTAACTTTATAAGGAAATATATAAACAATCATTAAGTTAATCAAGGTAATCAGATCTGGTGATATGCTGCTGTTTTTCTTTCTGCTTCGTCTGGGCCACTTCACCATCAGCTTCAGGAAAATATCCCCATAACCTGCAGCCAGCTGGTTCAGAAAGTTGTGACTTGTAAAACTAATTCAAACATGTTTTAATTAATCTTGATAATAGATGTAATTTACTCTAATGCTCCATTAGCATCTCAAAAATGTGAGTGAGTTGAAGTGTTTAGTTTAGACCTAATGTTAACACATCCCTGCATTATAATGCAATAGAGTGTAAAGTAAATATAAGCAAACATCTTCTAACTTCTCCAATAAACCACATTCCAGAGCTTGAACAAACTCCAGGGATTCAACCTTGAGCCAGAATTTATGAAAGTGCTAAAAAACTGCAGTTAACACATTTAAAGCCAGTTGTACTAATGTTTCTGCTTTAATAACATTATTTACAGTTAAAGTCAGAATTATTTGCCCCCTGTTTATTTTTTACACCAATTTCTGTGTAACGGAGAAATAATCATAACAGTGTTAATAACTCATCTCTAATAACTGATTTATTTCCTCTTTGTCATGATGACAGTAAATAATAATAGACTAGATATTCTTCAAGACACTTCTATACAGCTTATATAAATATTTGAAGGCTTCACTAGGGTAATTAGGTTAACTAGGCAGGTTAGGGTAATTAGGCAAATTATTGTATAATGATGGTCTGTTCTGGAGACTATCAGAAAACAAAAATAGCTTAAAGGGGCTAATAATATTGACCTTAAAATGGAGTTTAAAAAATTTAAAACTGCTTTTATTCTAGCCGAAATAAAACAAATCAGACTTTCTCCAGAAGAGCAAATATTATCAGACACACTGTGAACATTTCCTCAATCTGTTCAACATCATTTAGGAAACATTATAAAAGAAAAAAAATCTAAGGGGGCAAATAATTCTGACTTCAACTGTGTGTTAATAATAACTATAAATAATAATAAATAAATATAAATAAATAATAAAAACTATGAATAAAATCTCATTCAACAATCTATGCCTGATCTTACTGTGCCTTTTTTCCTTAAGTGGGTCACTGGGATATTTTATTTTTTAAATATTATATATGTAGATTATACATATAAATATAAAATGTTACTCTTAAAATACAACGCATGAACGCATCAGGCCAAAAGTAGATGTCAAAAACTTTTGTCTCTGACCTGACCTTTAGTGTGTGTGTGTGTGTGTGTGTGTGTGTGTGTGTGTGTGTGTGTGTGTGTGTGTGTGTGTGTGTGTGTGTGTGTGTGTGTGTGTGTGTGTGTGTGTGTGTGAGAGAGCGCTCTCCAGCCGTGCCACTGAAGCTCCACCTTGTGGCTTTTAGCAAAAACCATCTTGACTTTTGACTTCTATAATCTTCCCCCAAACTCAGATCAGCTCCTCTCCAGCATTTCAGCGGTGAGAACATCCCTTTTTTTTTGCTTAATAGCATTGAATTACTCCAGAAAAAACAAACACTGAGACATACATCATCATACAAATCATGTTTGGGGAAAAAAAACATTGGAAAAATTGGAGACAAAGTAAAGTAAGACTGAATTTAGTTTGAGTGAAAAATATTTTATAAATATACAGTTTAGGTCAGAATTATTAGCCCCCCTGAATTATTAGCCCATAATGAACTTGAACTTGAACCCTAAGGTCAGATGGCTGAAAGCAGAGAGCATTTCAAGTGTGTGTTTTCCAACATCAGAGCGCCACCTTCAGGCTGAATTACACAAAGGCTCTAGAGCTCTGCTGAATCTGCCTCATTCTCTAAGAGTATAGCTGAAAACCAAAAGAAGATTGATCAATTCAAACGTAAGATAAAGGTAAATAAAAGCTCTTATATTGAAATCAAAGCATTAATTTAAACCTTCACAATTAAATTTATTCATTTTCTTGTCGGCTTAGTCCCTTTATTAATCCGGGGTCGCCACAGCGGAATGCACCGCCAACTTATCCAGCAAGTTTTTACGCAGTGGATGCCCTTCCAGCCACAACCCTGGGAAACATCCACACACACACTCATACACTACGGACAATTTACCCTGCCCAATTCACCTGTAGCGCATGTGTTTGGACTGTGGGGGAAACCAGAGCACCAGGAGGAAACCCACGCGAACGCAGGGAGAACATGCAAACTCCACACAGAAACACCAACTGAGCCGAGGCTCGAGCCAGCGGCCCAGCGACCTTCTTGCTGTGAGGCGACAGCACTACCTACTGCCTCACCCCACAATTAAATTACAATCCAGAAACACAATGGTATCAGCAGTGGTGGCTTTAGTTTAAATGGCACCCTGGATGAACCACCCTATACTGATGCCCTTCCAGCCACAAACCAGTACTGGCCAATATACCGCCCAGTATTATATTATTAATAAATATTATTCTAAATCAATAAATGTAACTGGAATACAATGTAAAGAAAGACACACCTGGAGTGATATGCAAAGATCACTTAAGAAATCTTTTGCATGAAAAATACATGCTTTATGGAATTATCAGCTGTCTCTGACCCGACTCAAGGCCGAGAAAGTCTTACCTCCCTGACGAATTATCCCTCCTTTCTGCTTCATAGCCATGCTTAGTCAAAATAAGATCATCAAACTTTAATTTTGTCGACATGCAAAACTCGCTGTGTGCCGAACCCTCTGCATTAAAGTTACACCAGTTACTCCGGTTTCACAGCACATAGACGTGCATATTTTATCAGCGTGACTGTAAACAACTGGCATACACACTGGGAGCAGAGCATCCCGTGAAGCGTGTGGAAACCGTTTTCTGTGTACACCAGCGTTGTTTTGGTTGGGGGCAGCACGGTGGCGTAATGGGTAGCACTTTCACCTCACTGCAAGAAGGTTTCTAGTTCTGGTTTCACACTCTCTAGAAATTGACATACACGCGCTTATAACCTCCTGGTTAGACTATTGTAACTCTCTCTACTTTGGGCAGCCAAAGTCTCAGATTGCTCACCTACAGTTAGTGCAAAACGCAGCAGCTAGATTTTTAATAAATACCTGAAATATCCACATGTCACTCCTATTCTGAGGTCTCTACATTGGCTACCGGTGACACAAAGAATCCAATTTAAAATCCTTCTGTTTGTGTTTAAAGCCCTACATGGTCTGGACCCTCATTATTTATCCTAACTGATTGTTATTTACACTCCATCTATACACTTGCCTTCTGCTGATCAGTTTTTATTAAAAGTTCCAAAGGCCCACCTCATAAGTCGGGGCGAACGTGCTTTTGCCATAGCAGGTCCTCGCCTCTGGAACGCCCTGCCATTAGAACTAAAAAACAGCTTCGTCGCTGCCTATTTTTAAGTCTAAATTAAAGACTCATTTATTGTCAAGGTGTTTTTGAAGCATAAGTCCTTTCCCTTGGGGGGGAGAAGGGGGGGGGGTTGTTGGGAGTGGGATCAAAACGGTCAACTGTGGTAGCATCTTTTAATTAGGCAAAAAAAAAAAAAAAAAAAATATATATATATATATATATATATATATATATATATATATATATATATATATATATATATATATATATATATATATATATATATATATATATATATATATATATATATATATATATATATATATATATATATATATATATATATATATATATATATATATATATATATATATATATATATATATATATATATATATATATATATATATATATATATATATATATATATATATATATATATATATATATATATATATATATATATATATATATATATATATATATATATATATATATATATATATATATATATATATATATATATATATATATATATATATATATATATATATATATATATATATATATATATATATATATATATATATATATATATATATATATATATATATATATATATATATATATATATATATATATATATATATATATATATATATATATATATATATATATATATATATATATATATATATATATATATATATATATATATATATATATATATATATATATATATATATATATATATATATATATATATATAT